CACACACACACACCCTTTTCCTCCCCACACCTTTCCTCCCTCAACCTCTCTCAAACCCATTGCTTCAACAATGACTCTCTGTATATCTCTGGCACTGTGGATTAAAATATTCAAATGTTGCCCCCCCCCTCCCACCCCTCCACTGCATTATAAATGTGTGAAGCAAGATCTAAATAATACTGTTATTGTGTTCCGTGCTCTTGCACTTTGTATTGCAATGTACGGATTTAAAAAAATAATTTTCTCTCTTTTTTTGTTAAAGAAGACATTGGTTTTCTCTTTTTTTGCATCGCTCCTATTACGACACGGTTTAAGAAAAAAGCATGCCCTTACTCACACTGTATATTGCATAGCAAACAGTATGATCTATGGTAAACAATTCAAAGTATAGGCAGCAGCATGTTGCTGAACAGACGGCAGAGAGTAGAGCAAACAGCATGTACCGCAGACAACAGCATGTTGCACAGCAAAGAGCATGTTGTACTGTAAACAGCATGCATTACAAATAACATATTGTACAGCAATCACGTTGTACAGCAAACAGCATGCATTACAAATAACAACATATTATACAGTAATCACGTTGTACAGCAAACAGCATGCATTACAGCTCACTGCATGTATTGCAGCAAATAACAAACAATATGGCGCATAGCAGACAGTATGCAATACAGCAAACAACGCATTATACCGCAAACAGCATGTTGTACAACAGACACTTAATACAGCGTACAACACACTGTACAGCAAACAAGTTATACATTCAACAACACCTTGTACGGCAAATAGGATTGAGTACTGCAAGCAGCATATTATTATTGTACAGCAAACAGCACGTTGTACAGCGAACACGTAAACAGTACAACAGCAAACATCATGTAGTACAACAAACAGCACATTGTACTGCAAATAGCATGTAGTACAGCAATCATGTTTTACAACGAACATCAAGCTGTTCAGCAAAAGATACGTTGTACAGCAGACAGCATTTAGTACAGCAAACAGTTGAAGTACAGCAAACACGTTGTACAGTAAACGACATGTAGCACAGAAAACATGATATACAGCAAACAGCATGCTGTACGGCAAACACAATATTATAGTACTGCAAACAGCACGTTGCGCAGCAAAAAGCAGGTTGCGCAGCGAACAGCATTTTGCACAACAAAACGATGTACATCAAACATGTTGTTCAGCAAACAGGCAGTTGTGCAGAAAACAACTTGCAGTACATCAAGCAGCACGGCATAATCTAACAGTACATTGTACAACAAACAGCACGCTGTACAGCAAACAGCACGTTGTACAGCAAAAATGTTGCAAAGAAAACAGCACGAACTACAGCAAAAATGCTGCACAGCAAACAGCACATTGTACAGCCAACAGCATGTAGTTTAGAAAATAATTTATACAGCAAACAAAATGTTGTACTACATATGGCATTTCAGTACAGCATACAGCACGTCATTTAGCAAACAGCATGTTGCACAGTAAACGGTACAGTGCAGCAAATACGTTATACAGCAAACAGCACACTGTACAGAGCAAACTGCACGTTGTACTGCAAACAGCATAATTTGGTACAGCAAACACCACACTGTACAGCAAACAGCATATTAGTTCGATAAACAGTATCATATACAACAAACAGTTATAATTTGTATAATAAACTGTATATTATATACATCAAACAGCATGTATATTGAAGGAAACAGAATTTGCTTGTTTAAAGACTATTCGTGTGGATGGATGACGGGTACTCTGGTGTGGTTTGCTTTTTCTTTCCTATCAAGCATCTATCCTCTTTATCCCCCCTCCTTTTTTGAGTATGTTACTCTCTTGTAACACCTCTAATCTTCGGCACTTATATTATGACCTTTTGTGCTGCAAGTGCCGTTAAACACTTACTAAAATTAAAAAACTAAAAGACTATAAGCACCAAAAATGCAGGTTAACAGAAATCATTTTTTAAAAGAAAAGAAAATGTTTTTTAAAAAGGTAAAACGTCGTGCAACCACAAAACAAAAGTTCTGGAAACGCAGCCATCTCTAACACGCTCTCGGTAAAATAAAAATCAAAGACCTCAAAATACGTATTGAAACACACCCGTGACAAACAGATAATATTATTATATAGAAGAGGAGAAAAACAAAAAATTAACGAACCTTCTTCTCCTTCTCCTACCCCCACCCCTCCCCCTTTTGTCCACCCCGTGTCAGCTCGTGCACATTTCGAGAATAACACACAACCCAAACAAAAACAAAACCCCCAAAATACACGTATAGATTCTAAATTATAGAGAATGCACTGGAGCATCGAAGTCAGTATGTGGAACTGTATCTGAAATTAAACGAATCTAATACGATGTGATTGGGACGTAAGACGGAAAGCGGAAACACCCACCAGGTGTCAATGCAACATTCTTGAAATTAAAATGAGAGCTTTAACCTTCATATTATTTTGTCACGGACGTTTTTATGATGAATTTATAATTTTGCTCTTTTTGGAAAAAAAATTGTGGTCACGGACACTCCTTCACATAGGTTTTTCTTTCCCTCTTTCCCCTTCGAATGTTCTTTTATATCTGTATTCTATGATGCCAATGACATAATAGCTTGACTGAACAGTTTCTCTTCTGTTCGCACATTTCTCTCTCTCTCTCCCTCTCTCTCTCTCTCTCTCTCTCTCTCTCTCTCTCTCTCTCTCTCTCTCTC